TTACAGGTATCCGCCTCCATGCCCAGCTGATTTTTGTATTTTTTGTAGAGACGGGGTTTCTCTATATTGGCCAGGCTGCTCTCGAACTCCTGACCTCAGGTGATCCACCTGCCTTGGCCTCCCAAAGTGCTGGAATTACAGTCATGAGCCACTGCGCCCAGCCCGTTCTGTGGGAGTTTCTGCTATATTCTGGTTACTGACTGACTGTCAGCAGTAGTGTACATATTTTTCCCACCTTGGCTTTTCTTTTATCTCTTTTTGAGGTGTCTTTGATGAGCAGAAATTCTCAATTGTAATATAGTTGAGTTTAGCAGTCATAGCTTATATATAATATTTTTTTCTATTATATTTAAGAAACTCTTCCCAATTCCAAAGTCACTGGAAATTCTCTTTCGTCTGCTGGAAGTTTTGAAGTTCTTCTGCCTTTTGCTCTAGCACACCCAGAGTCTACCAGGAGCTCACGCATGTGGTGTCCTTGGGTAACCTGACATCTCAGCCCCTTTGCTGAAATCCCCCTCCCTCCAAACCCCGGTTTGCAGTGCCACCTGTTTTATACATCAAGCTGCCAAATCTGCAAGGGTCTGTTTCTGGGCGCTCTTTGGTCCCCAAATTCCACTTCTCTTAATTCGCTCTAAGGATAGTTGAGGACATAAGCAGATATTTACTTACGGGAATGTCCGCTGAAATTCTGATGATAGCATTGAGGGAGCAGGAGGCATTCTAAATCTTCTGGCAGTGGGAAGCAGGTGAATGATGGAGAGGAGGGTGTGTAGGTGCAGTGAAATACTTGGTAGCCAACAAAAATGCATTTGCTGATGCAGCTATATGGTAATAATATACGTGACAAAAAGTAGCAAGGTCAAACAACAGTATGTACAGTATGGATTCCATGTTCATAAAAAGAAAGTTGTAAGTTGAAAAAAACCTGTCATCTTTGCTTTCTCTTGTCCCGGTCACACTCAGGGTTATTTTATCTGGCTTCGACCCCATCAAGCCACCATGTCTGCTCTGGCATGTCCTCGGTGACCCCCTGGTGGCTGCTTCCTTTATCCTAGCCTCAGTTCTCATTTATGACCTTGCTGCTACATTGGACATCACTGATGCGATCTTCTCGACGTGCTGTCTCCTCTCCTGCACTTCTGCCCACTTTCTTCTCGTTCTCCTTTCTGGCTTTCCTTTCTCGATGTTGGTGTCCCTGGATTCCCATTTCCCTGGGCCTCCGTGCACTCCATGCTTTCTCCTTTGGGGCCCTTGGCAAGGCATCTCCTGCGTTAAACCTTCTCCTACATCACAGACCTGCAGTGCTGGCTGTCGCCTCACACTGAACTCCCCTGATGTCCTCGAGGCCCACAGACTCAGCACGTCCAGAATGAAACTGACGTCCCCCCACTGAGCCACACTCTTCAGAGGTGTCCAGGATTTCGGTCCTGTCTCCTCCCCTTCACCTCGGTCAATTGTCACATCTTTCTGAACATTCCCGTGCCTGTGTCCATCTCTCCCCTGCCACCCCAGACTCTTGTCACCAACTCCCCCCTTATGCAAGTTTCTGAAGTGTTCTGCCAGCCTCCACCTTTCACCCCCTCTTCTTTCCCACACTGTGGCCACAGTCAGCTTTCCAGAGTGAGTGTATTTCTGAGCCACCACCGGGCTCTGTCTCTAGCCCCAAGGAGCAGCTGCGGGCCTCTGCTTGCCCAGCCCCTCCTCTCTGGCCTGCTCAGGTACCTGTTGTTCAGGCAGCCTCTCTTATGGGACATTGCTCACTGCCCTGTGCCCCACATCCCAGAGCACTCCGGTGTGTATACGTCTGCCCTGCTCTGGTCTGAGCTTCTGCCCATGCAGCCCTCAGAGCCCAGTGCGGTGACCAGCATCTGGAGACGTGGCCATGTGTCGGAGAGGGGTCAACCTCACCCTGTGACTGGGCCTGCTGATCCCTTTCAGACAGAGTCTGTTCTGGACTTTCTCTGTCCCCTGGTTTGAAGCCCTTTTCAAGGGCATTCTCAGAGGTGTCTTACTCTTCAGCAAGGACCACTGGAGACTTGCGCTTCCCCGCAAACAGCTGCACGTGGTAGTCTTGGACCTGTGGGCTGGGCATATGTCTGTCGGGTCAGTGGGTGGCTGTGGACCACACTGCAGCTCAGGCCCAGTGCTCTCGCCAGCTTCCTCTGGAGAGCCCAGCACTGGGATTGGTGTCTCACCTGTGTTTGCTGGTGGGCGCTTGTTCACTTTCCACCTGCTGCTCTTTCTTTGACTGGAGCTTGAGAGTTTTCTTGGTGCAGTGTGTGTTGCAAATTTGTCTCTGATTGGAATAAGGGTATCCTAGATGGCTCGAACGACAGTCAGCCCTTTTGTTTGTGCATAGAACCCAACAAAGTGACTGTAAGAGCCTGGTGGCCCGGCATGGCCTGAGCGAACTGTGCAAGGGCCTGGCCCTTTCACTCCTGACTCTGCTCTAGGGGGCAAGGAGAGGCCTTGTCAGCCGAGCAGCATTTCCTGTGGGTGCCTTTCACAGCTACCACGTGCAAAATACAGCACATTATTTTGGGGTGTTATTTTCTTGACCACTTTTGGTTCATTGCTTTTGACTAAATGTTTAAAAATATTCTGCAGCATATCTATAGTACTCACAAGCAGCGAATCAGGAGAAGAAATGCAGTTTCTGAGAAGGCTTCAAAGAAATCATGGTCTTTATCTCTTCCCCAGCCTTTTCCGCTGAAACCCACCAGTCTTTTTCTGAGCACTCTTGTTCTATAAATAAAGCAACAGCTCTCCTTGGGCAGCCCAAGATCGCAGACTCTCATCCGCCCTCAGAAAGATTGTGCATGTGCGTGTGTGTGTGTGTGTGTAAGAGTGGTGGTGCAGTGAGTTGTGTTTTAATTTTGCTTTTCTTTTATGTATGAGATGTGTAGCAGGAGATGCAAGAAAAAATACTCTAGCATCTGTCCTTTAAAGATAACTTATTATAACTTTTCTGGGTTTTGGCTTGTTGGTTTTGTCTTTTTTTTTTTTTTTTTTTGCCCATTTAGGGAAGAGATGGAAGTGATTGCTTTCCGCGCAGAGGTAAGGAAGAGGAATGGGGGGCCAGGAGAGATGTCCTCACAGTGAGGCCTTTGAGGTCAACAGAGAAAGGGTCTCGTGATGTATGTTTTAGGCTACTGTGGATGGCATTGCTCTGTGCAGATGTATTTGAAATGAGTGTCATCCATGTGTACTTGGATCTGAAAAGGATGTTTGGAAACAAATACCATTTCCCAGTCCTTCACAGTGAAGACTGGTTTGTATCCTCGCTCCCAGAATCAGGGGGTGGGACTTTCTGTCTGCCTTGGATCACCCTTGTTCTGTTTTGGACGGGATCTCAGATGCTAGCTGTATGCTGGGGATCCCTGCTGTCTCTAGGGGAGTGGGTGGGGATGGGAAGGTCACTTCTGGCAAACAAGCCTCATCAGGATGCTTGATCATTGGATAATGTTGGGCTCCTCTCTTTTTCCTTCCTGGCACTCTTTAATTACTGGGGAAAGGGTGGGTGCCTTTTTCAGAAGTGTGAGGTGAATGTATAAGCCAAGAATGAGTCAGTAGATTCTTCAGCAGCTCTCCCCTGCGCCGATCCTCTAGAGTTGGAAAGGGCTGCTGTCGTGCCACCGGGCCAGTGCCGAAAGCAGAGTTCGCCACGATTGGCATGTGCTGGTGAGCAAGAAGCTCTTGGAAGTGGTCGTGAGTGCAGCCAGTTTCCCCCAACCCAGGAAGGGCACAGTGAGGATGGCTTGTTGCAGGATAAGGAGGAGACCCCTAGGCACTGTGCACTGGCCTGTGCTATGCTGTCCGGGCGTGGTCCTGGTGTCCGTCCACATGTTGATGGGGTGTCGGGGTGGGGGCTTTCTGCAGCCTTCCCTGTTCCGCTCTCTCCTGTTGTGAACGGCCGGTAGACGGATCGGGCAGTGCAGTGTTCCGCGCTTGCATTCTGGCACAAGTGGGGGACAGGAGCCTCCTGTGTCTTGCTCTTGCTGGTTTTATGTTAGGGAGTTTTCAGCGTTTGTGGATACTTAAGAACTTTGTGCACGCACCGTTTAAAACATTGACATAAAGTGCAGAGCTATATGGGATTAGGTAATTAAGCAAAAGCTTCTCTGAACCAGTGTGCTTGTCTTTGAACAGAATTTTTAGGAAGCCTCCCTCTGTTTCCATGCTGAGGCCCTTGTGGACTGGGCATTTCTGTGAGGTGGGATGTAACATAGTGTGCAAACGCTGAGAGCCAGGTTCTTGTCTTCATGCATGTCGTTTATTCTTTCTGACTGTGTTAATGGCTCCAAGTACGTCAGAAAGTCTCATGACCAAGTAGTTCCTTACGCATTTGATGTTTTGGTGGCATGGGCTGTGTAAGGCGGGGGAGCAGCTCCGGGGTAAGTAGTGCCCCCTTCATTCTTGGCTTTAATTGAGCCAAGGTGAGTGGACTGTAGAGTCAATTTCTGGATTCTCATAAGAGAACATCTTGTGTTATGGGGTGAACTCATCAGATTTTCGGGTTGAGAGGAGTTTTAGTGTCTGTGGCCGAGGCACTTCCCTCTCATGGTGTGTGCAGATGCACACACCCAGCCTGTGAGTGGTGGGTTGGGCTGAGGGTGCAGGCCTGGAGCTTCTGAGCCCCAGAGCCACTGACGTAGACAGCTTTGGCAGCAGCATCCTGAGAAATGGCAGGGGGCCAGAGAACACAGAGACAGGGCCAAGAATAGCTGAAAAATACCAAATGTTGAAGTTGGAGAATGCACTGGCCCCATGTCCCAGTGTCTTCCCAGCTGCTGCGTACTGTGGCCCTGTGAGCCTCAGTGTCCTTTCTTCATGTTGCCAGTGCATCCAGGGCACACCCTGGGCCTCTGACACCCCCACCCACACAGGCACACATTGCCCCATAGAGGAAAGGATTGGTGCAACCCCCGTCCCCCCGGCAGCGTGCTGGGCCTGTGCATAGGTCAAGGTCTGTTGAGAGTGTGAGAAATATTTTCTGTTGGAGACATGAATATGTTTCAGCCACAACAGGGTGCGTTTCAGCTGGAAGAGTGAAAGGGCACCTTGAAAACTCAAGTTTATGAATATGTTTCTGTACTTTCAGACCATCATCAAAGAGGGGATGCTGACCAAACAGAACAATTCATTCCAGCGATCAAAAAGGAGATACTTTAAGCTTCGAGGACGAACGCTTTACTATGCCAAAACGGCAAAGGTGAGGCCCCATGCAGGAAAACACACGTGAGGACATCACAGGAGCTGTCCCGGGGGAGGAATTGGGGGTGCTGAGTCCTTGTGTGGGAAAAGCTTCAATTTTCAGATCTGTTATTGCCAGTGAGTTTTGTAACACTCCACACTGTCAGGTTTTACTTGTCTCAAGGTATGTTTTATTTCTTATCAAAAGTAATTTCTATTCATTTTCCTTTTCTTTAATGTCATCAGTAATGGGGAAAAGGAAAAAAAGGGTCACAGAAACAGCCACATTAAAGTTGGATATCTTTCTTTCAGAAAGGTTGGGGGGAATCACAGGGTTATGAATTTTATCTTCTTATTATTAAATAATTCTTTATTCTTTAAGTATATTGAGCTTTTTTTTTATTTTTTGTTTTTTTTGAGAGGGAGTCTTGCTCTGTTATCCAGGCTGGAGTGCATTGGCGAGATCTCGGCTCACTGCACCCTCCGCCTCCTGGGTTCAAGCAATTCTCCTGACTCAGCCTCTCGAGTAGCTGGGATTAAAGGCACCTGCAACCACGCCTAGCTTGTATTTTGTATTTTAGTAGAGATGGGGTTTCACTATGTAGATCAAGCTGGTCTCAAACTCCTGACCTCAAATGATCTGCCTGCCTTGGCCTCCCAAAGTGCTGGGATTACAGGCGTGAGCCACCCATGCTTGGCCTAGAGATGGGGTTTCACCACATTGCCCAGGCTGGTCTTGAACTCCTGACCTCAAGTGATCCTCCTGCCTTGGCCTCCCAAGGTGCTGGGATTATAGGCATGAGCCACTGTGCCCGGCCAAAGTAGAAGGAGCTGAGCTTTTTGATGTGTGAACAGAAATGGGAAATTCTTTATTTTTAGGCTTTCTAGCAATTAACCTTCTTTCTGTTGCCCTATTGTAGGTAGATTTAAAACTAGAAGCACCAGGTGGGTGCTGCTGGAGGAGGAGCAGCCAGGGAAAGTCACAGATTACTGCCATGTTTAAGCGGATGTGCTGTTAGACATTCAGACACCAGTGTGTTAGCTGGGATTCCGAATACCTGTATTTTTATATCAGTATTGGTGTCAGTACTAATATTTTGGTATTTAAGAAATCTGGGATCTGAATCATTTACATTTTGAGACATAGCCCTAGAAAGTTACTGCATTAAAATTTGAAATGGAACAAAGCAGCTTTTTTAGAAAGGGTTCTGACCACTTCCCTCACTTAAAAAAAAAAAAAAACACGAGAAAACACCTTTTACAGTTAGTTCTGGGGGCGAGGGGAGGGGGACGTTTACTTAAAAGATTGAGTCTCTTTTCTGAGTAATTAGTTTGATTTTCTCCAGGGTTCCTCATAGAGCCATCGTATAATAGAGGGGATGGTATATGGGAAACAGCAGGCAGGGGCTGTGCTGGGGGACTGTGACCGTGTAGGGAATGGAAAGGGAGATGGGGGAGGTCCCCACGCCTGATTCCCAGCCTGCCCTGGAGCGTCTCTCTCTCTCCAGGACCAGTCTCCTTCTGATCTGCTCCCTTGTTTCCTTTCACGGCCAGACCCCTTCCATTTGGACTTGTCTCTCTTCCCCAGAAGAATTCATTTTAGCCAGGACCTTTCCCCTCCATGTGCTCGCTGGAGGAACAAGCTGGGAAGACACAGAATCCTCAGTCCGGACCCCGGGGCCTTCCCCCAGCTAAAACACTGTGTGAGAACATACTTCACATGTAAAAGTGAACACTGGTGTTGACAATAGTAGTAAATACAGAAGTAGCAGCATTGGGTTGTTTGCTTTGGTTCTCTCTCTTTTTTCCTTCACTAATGCAATGCCAAAGTTCGTAGATTTTTTTTTTTTTTAATCATGGCACTATACCTGTGAGCCCGAGCTTTTGGTTAGAAGCAGATGGGTGAGTTAATTTGGATTCGCTTATTGATTGGATCCTACAGTTTCAAGGTACTTGGGCTTCTGTGGGTGCTTGGTAGGGATCAGGGGGGTGTGGTGGGCAGCGCTGGCTAGTGCTTAAGGATGTCCTTATCTTTGTGTGCCTTAGTCCCTGTGTTTGTCTCTTTTCCAGTCAATCATATTTGATGAGGTGGATCTGTCAGATGCCAGCGTGGCTGAATCCAGTACCAAAAACGTCAACAACAGTTTTACGGTAAGATTCCTGAGTCACGCCTTTCTTGATTCTTTACTGAAGTTGGCTTTTCTTTTTGATCTGAACATGTGTCCAAGCAGTTCAAACACTTTCATTCTTTTCTTTCTGATTGGAATGATTGCTGGTAAAATTTGAATTTAATGCTGAAAGTAATACTGTGGTTGGAAAATAACCAAGAATTTGGCACGCATAAGCACTAAGGGACAATAGGGACAAAATGAAAATTTTTTAAATATGTTTTGGTTCACGTCTTTTTTTTTTTTTTTTTTGAGACGGCGTTTCGCTCTTGTTGCCTGGGCTGGAGTGCAGTGGCGCTATCTCCAGCTCCCAGCAACCTCTGCCTCCCAGGTTCAAGTGATCCTCCTGCCTTAGCCTCCCTAGTAGCTGGGATTACAGGCATGTGCTACCACACCTGGCTAATTTTGTATTTTTAGTAGAGACGGGGTTTCTCCTTGTTGGTCAGGGTGATCTGGAACTCCCAACCTCAGGTGATCTGCCCGCCTCGGCCTCCCAAAATGTTGGGATTACAGGTGTGAGCCACCACGCTCGGCTGGTTCATGTCTTACTAGCTCTGTACAGAGTTTTGTTTTTTGTGATTAGTGTAGAAAATTTGGAAAATGCAGACAAGTATGTTAAAGCAATTAAAAAGCAGCCATAATTCAGCCACCTCAAAAAACATTGAGTGTTAATATTTTGGTGTATTTCTTTTTTTTTCCTTTTTTACGTTTAAACTTTCTTCCTTCCGAATTTATAAAAGTTATATTGGACTTTGTGCAAAAGTTCTAAATGCATGAAATCATGTGATTGCACCACTTGGAAGTGGCCAGCTGCTTACTCTGGAGTGTTTATCTTTATTTCTGTATATTTGTGTCTTTACCTGCGTGTACCCGTGAGATCATGCTGAACCTTTTGGTTTACACCTGTGTGTTTTTTTTTCCCCCAGGACAATTTATAGTAGACAGTTGCTCATGTCAGCTGATCTAAATGTTCATTATATTTTTTAATGGCTATAGTAGCATTTTCTTGTATGATTTTATAATTTAGGCTTTACAGGCTGACTTTAGTACCTACCTGTATAAGGTTTGACTCTTAATAACAGCACTAGAACTTTTAAAGCTATTTTTCTTTATGTTATTAGGCCATCCCATCTAGACATAAAGTATGCCCCCTAATTTTAAAAATTATTCTTTTATAATTCAGTCAAGGTGAGTAATTTTCCTCAAGTTTAGGATCCGACATTTTGGGTTAGTGTTAGTTTCATGTGCTTTCAAGTTTTATTTTGTTTATTGATGGATTCATTGTTGATGTTGCTGATACAAATGGGATTTTCCTTCCTCTCTCTAAACCTCTGCTTATTTTGTGTTGATGTAACTGCTCTTATTTTACTTGGAGTATTTGTAGTTTTCTCTATTAATTTATTTTTACCAGCTGGGAAGAGACATTTTTAACTACACAAATAGATTTTTCTTTGATTCGTGGTTTTTAGAGTCTTTAATAGGAGTAGGTGTTGAATTTCGTTGGAGTGTTCTGAGCATCAGTTAATTAATTAATTCACTTTTTAGAGATGTAGTCTCCCTTTGTCACCCAGGCTGAAGTGCGGTGATGTGATCTCGGCTCACTGTCACCTTTGTCTCCCAGGTTCAAGGGATCCTCATGCCTCAGCCTCCCTAGTAGCTGGGATTATAGGCGTTCACCATTTCGCCCAGCTAATTTTTGTAATTTTAGTAGAGATGGGATTTCACCGTATTGGCCAGGCTGATCTCAAACTCCTGACCTGGAGTGATCTGCCTGCCTGAGCCTTCCGAAGTACTGGGATTACAGGCGTGAGCCACTGTGCCTGGCCCTGAGCATTAATTTAGATGTTCATTTTGGTTTCAGTTATTTGCGTATTTCCTATTAAAAAAATTATTCTTGGTAATGTTGAATTTTACTCCTTAATCTTGCAATTTAGATTTTTCCCATTGGTGTATATGCATTTGTTTTGGGTGAGAAGGTAGCCTTGTTGCAGTTTTAAACAATTGTTTTTTCTATTTTTAATTTTAATGGTTACATAATAGTTGGACATATTGCGTTTGTTGTGTTTTGATTTCAGAGTTAAAGTAACCCCATAAAATTCATTTAGTAACTTTCTATGAGTTTATGTTTTCTGCAACATTTTATGTAGCTTTGGGATTGATTGTTTCTTAAGTTTGAGAAAATTTATTTTAAAGTATTTGTCAAGAAGACTTTTTAGGGAGATAAGGCTATAATTGAAATAAATCCTAAAATATTTATTTCTTGCATTTTGATCATTTGAGCCTTTTTCACTTTTTGAGTCCATATCTGTAATTTACTTTCTCACTAATTTCACACCTTCAAATTTAGTAGCGTGTACTGTTGTGTAGTTTAAACACGTATGTCTCTGGTTGGATCTCCTTTGCATTTCTAATTTTGTTAGTTTAGTTTGTTTTTCTTGTCAGATTTCTTAAACTCTAGCCTTTTTGTTTTCTTTGTTTTTAAAGAGAACTAGTTCTTAGATTATTGAACAATTCTCCTTTTCTATTTCCTTGTTTTTTTTTTTTTTTGAGACGGAGTCTCGCTCTGTTGCCCAGGCTGTAAGGCTGGAATGATCTTGGCTCACTGCAACCTCCACCTCCTGTGTTTAAGCGATTCTTCTGCCTCAGCCTCCTGAGTAGCCGGGATTACAGGCACCTGCCACCACGCCCGGCTAATTTTTTTGTATTTTTAGTAGAGACAGGGTTTCGCCGTGTTGGCCAGGCTGTTCTCAAACTCCTGACCTTGAGTGATCTGCCTGCCTCGGCCTCCCAAAGTGCTAGGATTACAGGTGTGAGCTACTGAGCCTCACCTGTTTCCTTTTTTTTTTTTGGGCGGGGTTTCACTCTGTTGCCCAGGCTGGAGTGTAGTGCTGTGATCTCGGCTCACTGCAACCTCTTCTTCCTGGGTTAAAGCATTTCTCCTGTTTCAGCCTTCTGAGTAGCTGGGATTACAGGCGTGTCCTACCACTACCTGGCTAATTTTTGTATTTTTAGTTAGAGATAGGTTTTCACCATGTTATCCAGGCTGGTCCTGACCTCAAGTGATCTTCCTGCCTCAGCTTCCCAAAGTGCTGGGATTACAGGTGTAAGGTACCATGTTGGGCCCTATTTTTCTGTTTTCTAAATCAATGTCTGCATTTATGTGTATTGGGTTTTTTGTTTTTTTGTTTTTTTGTTTTTTTAGACAGAGTCTTGCTCTGTTGCCCAGGCTGGAGTGCAGTGGTATGGTCTCGGCTCACTACAGCCTCCACCTCCCAGGTTCCAGTGATTCTCCTGCCTCAACCTTGGGTAGCTGGGATTATAGGCACACGCCACCATGCCCAGCTAATTTTTGTATTTTTAGTAGAGACGGGGTTTCCCCATGTTGGCTAGGCTGGTCTCAAACTCCTGACCTCAGGTGATCTGCCTACTTCGGCCTCCCAAAGTGCTGGGATTACAGGTGTGAGCCACTATGCCTGGCTGTGTATTGGTTTTTGTCTGTTGTAACTTATGAAATATGTTGTTCAAGTCCTCTTATGATCTTGTTTGTTTTTTTTTTTTTTTTTCACTTGTTTCCATAGGCTGTTAGTGAGGAGTTAATCTATTTCAGGCCAATTACATGTAACACTTTGTTCATGTATTTCTAACAGTTTTCACCTTCTCCATTTTGAAGCTTTGTTAAGCATATACATGTTTTAAAAGATAATACCCTCAATATTGAGTAATCATTTATTAATAAAGATTAATAAAGTAGTAGCTTTTTTTTCCCACCCCCGACAAGGTCTTGCTCTGTCAACTGGGTTGGAGTGAACTGGCACAATCATGACTCACTGCAGCCTTAAACTCCTGGGCTCAAGTGATCCTCCTGCCTCAGCCTCCCAGTTAGCTGGGACTACAGGTGCTTGACACCATGCCTGGCTAATTTTTACATTTTTTTGTAGAAGCAAGGTCTCGCTATGTTGCTCAGGCTGGTCTTGAACTCCTGGTCTCAAGTGATCCTCCTGCCTTGACCTCCCAAAGTGCTGGGATTAAAGAAGATCTTTTTCACAATGAGTAGTTTGTGTCATTAACCATTCTCTGATATTAGTATTTCTAAGTCTTCTTTTCTTTGTTCAGAATTTACTTAATATATATAACCAACCCCCCCACCCTTTTCCATCCTAACTTTTATCTTTAGTTTTCCTTATTATTTTAAATTTAATTCTCTCTCTCTCTCTTTTTTTTAAGAGATAGACTCTTGCTCTGTTGCTCAGGCTGGAGTGCAGTGGTACAGTGTTAGCTCACTGCAGCCTCAAACTCCTGGTCTCAAGAGAGCTTCCTCCTCATACTCCCCAGTAGCTGGGACCACAGGCATTGTCACCACACCCAGCTACTTTTTTATTTTTTGTAGAGATGGGGTCTAGCTGTGTTGACTTGGCTGGTCTCTAACTCCTGGCCCCAAGTGATCTGTCTTGGTATCCTAAAGTGTTGGTATTACAGGCATGAGCTGATGTGCCTGGCCTAGATTTAATTCTTGTAAACAGTATGTTGTTAGAATCTGTTTTATTTTAGTCAGAAACCCTTTGCCTTGTAAATATTGTGCTTCAGCCATTTTCTGCTGTCAGGATTATTGCATATCTGATGCCTGTGTTTTGTGGCCGAACGTATTGTACTTTCTTGTTTATTTATTTATTTATTTTTGATAGAGGGTCTTGCTCTGTCACCCAGGCTGGAGTGCAGTGGTGCAGTCGTGGCTCACTGTAGCCTCGACCTCCTAGGCTCAAGTAATCTTCCCACTTCAGCCTTCTGGATAGCTGGGACTCCAGGCACATGTGACCATGTCCAGATAACTTTTGTGTTTTTTGTAGAGACTGCGTTTCACCATGTCACCTAGGCTATTCTTGAACTTCAGGGCACAAGTAATCCGCCTACCTTGGCCTCCTGAAGTGCTGGAGTTACAGGCATGAGCCACTGCAGCCAGTCATGCTTTCTTATTTTAATGGTCTC